AAGTGTAGTGTAGTGTTCACCAACGTATCAGGTAGGGCTCGCTACTAGTTTGGTGGAGGGTCTAGTCCACGTTTGGTGGACCCTTAGTCCAAGTGGAGGGTCGGCTTAACTATGGTGGGGTGGGGTCTAGTCCCACGTTTTGTGTCACCAAATCGTGGGGTGGGGTCTCACCTTGACGTGGAGGGGGGGGTTCGAATGTGGTGTATAGCCTTTATATCTGTCAGTTTAAAAGGTAATTAAATGAGATTAATAAGGGATAATGTATCGATGATTCTGCATCTATGTGTAGTGTTTATGTTGTGATCGGGTGAGTTTTGGTGGTTTTGTTATTTTTTTTAAAAGTTCAGATTTTTGTAGACATAGTATTATTTTTTATAATTTGAATATTCACAAAATGGTAATACTGTAATTATGAAATTCCTTGAAATTAAGAGATAATAATAAAGGGATATTATATGGCTTATTTTAAGTGGACTGAGCTATTTTAATTTACTGGTTTGTTATTTGGTTGTGATGTTATTGTTGATTGAAGTTATAGGGTCTGGTATGGGACACAATAATGGGTATATTATAGAAAGTATAATTGGTTTAAAGAAGTTTGAATATGGATATGGTAAATAGAGTGATAGTTAAGCTACATGCAAGTTTTGGTGGTTATATCTTTTCAATTGGGTTGTTTGTGGTTGGTTATATGGTTCCCGAGATCATATCCCGAGATTAAACAGGGTATACCCATGGAACCACGATATATCAATTCTAGTTTGTATTGTCATCTTATTGAGCTTACCTTATTTCATAAGATTGTCACTCGATTTGTTCTGGATCATTGTGGTTGTGGAGATATTCCGGGTTAAAATTGGTCCCCATAGTTAAGGAATTTCCAATTTTGTGTCAAAAATTAACTTTTTCTTATATGATGGATTTTGGTGAAAGTAAAGGGCTTTATATAATAAGTGGTGCTGGTGCAGATGAAAGCCAAAGTTTGGAAGTGATTGCATTCATATTGGTGAAGTTGGTATATTTTGTGGTATCTTAGTGGGTTATATCCCCGAATAGAAAAACTTGAGAAGCCTACAACTCTTAGTTCTGCTATAGATCTTTTGAAATAGACTGTGCTAATTCTATAGCACTTAGTTTGGTTTCTTAATATTCAGATTTAATCAAAATATCCCAGGATTTGTGATTTTCAGAGTCTCACCGAGTAAGATTAATATAGTGAAAAATGAAATTTCCGATTTTGCTAAAGTAAAGGTAACCATGAATAGCCAAGATACGATTGTATAGGGTCCAGTTGAAACAGGTTTTCATTTCTCGGTGGTTTGGTGGGAATCGTGGTTTTGGTGATGTCCATAGTTAAGGTCAACATTACAGGCAGTTCATCCCGGGATACCCAAAATTCAACAACAGTAGATTCTTAGTTATTTGGTGGGATTTGTAGAGAGAATTCAGTAGATCTAAGCGCCCCTAGTCTGGATTTCAGTGATGGTTTATGGAACTGTCTATTCCAGGATACATGAAATCTGGGGTAATCACCGACGACAACAATAGGTCAAAAATATGAATTTCGGAATTTTGAGAAAGGAGTAGTACCAACGGATAGCGCATCCAAGGTACCATAGCGCCACGGTGTAACGTTTCAGGATTTCTTGGTGGATCTTGAGAAATCAATAATATTGCTGACAAAAAATTTTCAAATTTGAAATTCACGATTTTTCAAAAAGTTCGATCTTGATACCAATATTGAGTCAAGATGTTTTGAGTTGGGTGCTATATACGAAAGACCTGGTGAATTTTAACGCTACATCAATCGATTTTTAGTGTCATGTTTTTTAAGTACTATTATTTCTAGATATATGATTTTCGTTGTTGCGAAGGCCTCTCGGGAAATTGAATTTTTTATATACTTCCAGAAGTGATATCAAGAATTCCTATTGCATGTAGATTTATGGCATGCATTTAATCATAAGGACCATCTAATAAAGATTCAGAAATAGCAATTGGTATAGTAATGATGTCTTATGTACTTCAGATTATTTCTCAAATTTTGAAATTTCAAGTCGCCGTGGAAGTTGCTACAAGAGGCCATGAGTCTCCAGAAGAACATTTATTAGGGTAAAAAAGGACACTGAATAACCTGGTATTTGTAGAATATCAAGAAATGCTTCAGTCTGTGGAAATGTCACTGTTTATGTTGTTCATGTTGTTCCGCGAATTTCAAAATTGGACAAAATCACATGACAGCTTACCCAATTGTAACTCTATCTCTCCCAAAACTTGGCTATAGCTATTCAGCAGCCTAATTATACTACTGAGTCTTGTTTCTATCTCATTAAATGATCTATATTGTGTTGTTTTACGTCCTCCTAAGTTTATCTAGTAGTT